TGAAGGCCTCCCCCTCTTTCGTCGACCCTCCACCCTACCAAGCATGACATCCTTCTCCAGGGAATTGTCCCTTCTTACAACATGACCAAAATAGGTGAGACGAAGGAGTTTAAGATAATGGTCATGAAATAATTTGGAAAAGGAGAGTGAGAATGGTGCACACCTTGAAGAGTGTAACCAGTGCCACTGAATTGTAGGTGTAGAAATTGTTGAACTGGTGTATGTTTTGTTGTATATATTACCACCAAAAAAAAAAAAAAGAAAGTGGTAAACTGAAGCTGTATGATTTGTGTGACCTGTCCTCCTCACCACCCTTTTGTTCTCTCTCCCTTGGTTGCTTTCCGTCCACAGGTGGGTGGATTTTTCTTTGGCTGCTTGACTAATCAGAGGAAAGCTTGTTCAGTCACCTTTGTTTTTCTACATGGCCTCTACAGCTAGTTTCTGAGATGCTTATTCTTCCTTTTTCCTTCTTGGAGGTCTGAATGCTTTTATCCTGAAGCCTCAAACTCTACCTAAAATCCTCAGAGAGTGGAAATGAATACTTATTTTTACTGTTGTGACAGCACCCTGCTACTACTTTGTAACTAACTCTGGAGGCTCTTTGCTGTCTATGATGTTATTTGACTAGCTGTTCTACATTCTGAGTACTCTTTAATGACTCAAGGAGCTGAGTCAAGGAACTTGGGGACCATGGCATCCCAGCTGCTTCCTCTACAGAAGAGAGCACAGTGGATTGGAGTGGAGACTATACACTGTGTCCCTAAGACCAGGCCAAGGGTTCCCTAGAAATTTAGTTTAGATCTTTAAAATAAGATGAACTACTGTCATTCATGAGAAATCTGCTTGCTATGCCTGACTTCTTTGTCACACAATTGTACATATCATTAAACATTCATTTGTTGAATGTTGGCTGTATGCCAAGCCCTAGATTCAAAGGATACAGATGTGGATAGCACATAGTCCCTTTCTTCAAGAAGTTTATATGCTAGTAATATGTACCATATTAACTTTATTGAAATTTCATTTAATTTTCACTCTGAATCCTGTTCACATACGCTCAGGCTTCAGGGCTTGCTGCTTATGTAGCAGTGTTGCTCACTCTTAACTTACAAAAATAAAGAGACACTGTATTGTGTTTGCTATTTGAGTTAATTTTAACTCTTTGACTGCCATATACTATCCTTTTTTTTTTTTTTTTTGCTGGAAATAGTCTTTTGGACTGTGAAAAACTTTATTATACTCAAACTGTGATTCATGAAATACCTGTTCATCAGCACTTTTAAAGAATGTAAGCCTCAAGTTGGCTTTACCTATCCAAGGAAACATTTGTTCAGCATGTTCATATAATAAATAGGTACTAACTAAAACCAAAAATCCAAATCCACTGCCGTCAAGTTGGATCCGACTCATAGCAACCCTTCATTGGGTTTCCGAAGTGGTATTACTATGGAAATAGGTTGCCCAACTTGTTTCCTTTAAAAAGTGTTAAAGTCCAGTCCGTATCTTCAAGATTACAACCTATTTGGAAGACATACTTGAGCATTTTAACAATTATGTCACTTCTCAATTTGCATGTAATTAACGCATACATTTTGGGAATTAAAGCAGTGAAGAAATAACGACCTTTTAAAAATGATTTATTTTCAGAAAAACATAAGTTTCGACTTCTTTCCAAAGCACTTTAGGTCTCAGGCATTATAGGAATGCTGCTGGGTGGCCAAGCAAGAGCCATGCACCACAGGGTGGTACCCAGCCTAGGAGACAGAGTGCTTCTTGAGTGTCTGTCGGGTATTATTATTTTTTTAAAAATAATTGTCAAGTAAAATTATAAATTAGAAAATGTAATTAATATAGGGAAGGCTCTTAGATAACAAAGTAGAAAAAGCTTATGACCATTGAAATCATGATACTGAAAAGGCATCTATTTTCAGCCACTCCTATTAACTAATATGGTGATCCATTGCTTATTTATTATCTAGTATATGCCAGGTGTGGTTCTGGATGTTGGAGATGGAGCAATGAACACACCAGAAAAAGTAGCTGCTGTCACAGAGCTCATCCTCCTGTGGTATATGAAGCATTCATCACCTTATAAAAGCACAGATCAGTGAGTGACAGTGTCTTCGATTCCAGTGCTAAATTTGGAACATTGCCAGTCTTGACAAACACTGTGTATATGTGTGTGTATATATATATTTGTATATGTATATGTATATGTATATGTATATGTATACACACACACACACATATATAGGAGCTCTGGTAGCATAGTGCCCAAGGCATTTGACTGCTAACCAGAAGGCTGGCAGTTCAAACCCACCAGCCACTCCTCGGAAGGAAGACTGGGCAATCTACTTCTGTAGAAATACCACCTTAGAAATCCAAGGAGGGGTCACTATGAGTTGAAAATTGAGTGTTTCACCAATGGAGACTAATGCTATCACAGTATTGAACTCTTTGTGTGTGTGACTTTTTTAGTTTCATGAACAGACATTTGTATATAGTCATTTTTCCTATAAACTGTTTACTGTTTATTTTAATGCAGCATGGTAAAAAAAAAAAGAATATGATTCTTTTTTTTTTTTTACATTGTGTTTTGGGTGAAAGTTTGCAGAGCAAACTGGTTTTCCATTCAACAATCTATACACATTCTATTTTGTGACATTCACTGCAATCCCCACACTGAAACTACATTCTTCCCACTTCCTCTCTGTACCTACCCTTCCCTTCATTCTTCCTTCCTGTCCCCTCTGGACTTCCTAGCTCTAACCTTGGGCAAATGCTGTCTTCTTGATCTCATATGCTTGATTGTTGTAATGAGTGCATACTCTCCTGATATTACTGATCACCTGTCTATCATTTGGCTGCCATTTCAGTCATGGGGGTTCAGTTCAGTTCCTAGCTTGAAGAGTGTGTAAGGACCATAGTCTCAGGGGTTCCATCACTCTTCATCAGACCAGTAACTCTGGTCTTTTTTTTTTTTTTTTGAGTTTTGAAAAACATGACCCTTTTTATTCATCTATGGCTTTTCCTTTATTTCTTAGGAGCATATTTTGATTTAAAACTTTTTAAAACTTTTATTTCTTGGGAACCTAAATGTTACAGAAATCAAGAGATGGGTATATTTGAAGTATATGGAATATATTTGGAGTATCCTTAACTCTGTTATATTTCAATTTTATAAGACCTTGATTGAATCAGTTAATTTCACTACCCCTGTATTTCCCCACTTGTACATAAGGAGAACAAGCATCATATCTTCACTTAGGAAGATAAAGCTACAATGTGATGAGTCCTTAGCTGGAATAAGAAACTTGGATTCTGGTCATGGCCCTCCCACTGGCTAACTACAGTGACTTTGAGCAAGTCTCCTAACCTTCTGGTACTTCGGTTTCTTTTTTGTAAAATAAGATTGGACAGGATGATCACCAACATCTTTTTCATCTATAACATTCTTTGATTGTATATGTGAATTTGTATTTTGTAAGTGTTCTGAAGAGCTCTCTGAAATGCCCATTTGTCAGTGCAAAGGAATATAAAATATAAGATATTATGTTCATTAGGGAGACTTGACCAAGGACTAATAATTCATGTTTCATTGCAAATCAGTGACAAATGTCAAATATATGTTTCATTCATTAATCATTAGAATAATCTATAACTTTAGCAAAGGCAGGGATGATGTCTCTCTCATTCTTTGTATTTTTGGCACCTGGCACATAGTAGAAACTTTATGAATATTTGTTGACTTGTGTGTTGAATGTGACTGTATGGGCCATTATGTGCCATCCAAATTCAATTGTTATCAACATAAAGCCTGTCTTGTTGCTTGCACCGGATTATTTTAATGCAAATCCAAGATATTATTTTATCTGTAAATATTTTTTATTTCTTAAGGATACTTCTTTAAAACTATAGCCAAAATATCATTATTATATCTAAAAAATTAATTCGCAATTGTTCCTTAATTTATCACATAACCAGTCAATATTGATATGTCCCCAGTTCTTTTTCTCTCTCCTTTTTTTACAGTTGGGTTTGTTTGAATCAGGATCTAAACAAGGGCCCCTATGCATTTGATTGATAAATCTCTTGGGTTTCTCTCTCATTTTTTCTTTTTTTATTTTAGAATAGAAAATGTCAAACATATAAAAGCAGAGAGACTTGTGAGATGAACTTTCCCAGGAACTCAATAACCAGCTTCAGCTACTTTCAGGATAGCACTAATACGGCTTCATCTATGCCCCTCATTTCACACTTTCTTATATCATTAAATGGAAGCAAATTCTGGATATCATAGAAACCAGAATATGTGTCATCATAACATGTTTACCTAAAAAGATGAAAAATAGTACCTTAGTATCCTCAAATATCCAATGTTCAAAATTTCCCAATGATTCTATAAATATGTTTTTAATAGTTAATTTGTTTGAAACTGGATCTAAACAAGTTCCACAAATTGTATTTGATTGGTAAGTCTCTTATCTATAGGTTAAATACTTTATTTTTTAAAATGTTCCTTCTCATCTGTGTTTCTTGCCACTATTAAAAAAACAAAGTTTCTGTCCCTTGAAATTTCCCACGCTCTGGAATTTTGCTGATTGCACACCTGAGGCATAATTTAATGTATTCCTTTATCCTTGTATTTCTTGGAAACTAATTAGATCTAGAGACCTGATCCATTCAGGCTCACTTATGGGTGCGAATACTTCCTAGATGTGGAGTGTACTTCCTGTGACATCGTATAAGGAGGAGTCTGGCTGTTCCTCTTTTTCTGTGATGTTAAGATTGATCAGTGGAATCCCATGTTGTCAGTCTGCTTCATCCATTATAAAATTCGCCCTCAGCCTAATGGTTTTAGCTGCTACTGATGACCATTGCCTCAATCTGTTATTTCATTAGGGAAGAGGATGTATTTAGTATAACCAGAAGTTAGTCCTGTCATTCAAAATTGTTTTGCATTAATGTTATTTGTTAGATTTATTAACATTATAATAAATTTTGTTTGTTTAATCACTTTTAGTAAGAATCAAGGAAAATAATGTTGAGGAAGACTGACTTGTGAACCATAAAAATCTATATAAGTATTGCTATTAATTAGGAGCCTTGTCAAACTATAGAAACATAGGGAATTTTTTTCCAATAAAAATTATAACTTTTTATCTCAATAGATTCTCAGAAGGATTTGGAAAATGTCCTAGCAGGAAATTCTCAGACAGAGGAGACCACAGTCACAGCGAGTGCCACCAAAGAAGCTCAGGCCCCAAACCCTGCCTCTGGTCTTCACAAAGACCACCAATGGGTAGAGGTAATAGGTCCGGGAAGTGCAGACACAGGTGATAAATCAGAAAGTCCAGATGAAGCAGCTGCTGGGGAGTACCCAAAGGATGGAACAGAACATGAGAGCAACTGGAGTTCTCAGGATGGAGAGCAAGGGCGTCATTTCCACCCAGGAAGTCCCTGGGAAGAGCTCTTGGATCCAAATCCTAACTGCTCTCCATGTGACAAGGTAGGAAGAGCAGATGCCCAGGTGGGGAGCTGCTCTGCAGCCCTCCCTGAGGAAGTGAGTTTCAGAACCAGAGCTTCCCAGGAACCACCTGCTCCAGACTCCCAGGATGTCCAGGGTCCCGGTCATTCCAGCGCGGGGCTGGCGAGTCAGGACACACTGAGGAGGCGGCTGGCGGCACCAGGTGAGAACCCACTGAAAGACTATCCTGCTTTCCATAGCTCTGCTACTGAGAACAGAACTTAAGTCAAGGCCCTTCTTGATTCAGGGAAAGTGTAACCACAGAGAGGAAATGAGAAGAGTGATCTTACATTGTGGGGATTATAATCAGTGTCATGAAACAAAATGTGTATTGGAATACAAACCGAATCTACTTTGTAAAATTTCACCCAAATCACACCTTAAAGAAAATCACACCTTAAAGAAAAAAAGCCTTTCTTTCATTTCAGAAGTTTTTTACTTTTCTTTCTTTCACAGGATTAAAGTAAAATAGAACTTAATTAGAGAGAGAGAGAGAGAGATGCTGTGAGCCTTGATGGCAACAGGTTTAGTTTGGTTTTGGTTGGTTATACAGATGCAGGAGCCTTGGCATTCTTTAGCCCCGCATGGTTCCTGCTAATACGTAGTTTTCACAAGGCCAGGAAATGTGGCTGAAAGCAGTCTTTGTTGCTGCACACAGGTAGTCTGAAGCCCAACCTAGAAACCTGCTGTAGATTTTTTCACCATGTGTTCGCTGGCATCTAAGAGCTGTAAGGGAATGTGTTCGTCAGAGTCTCTGGTTCCCTAACTGCTCCAGCTGGTGTCAGCCCCCTACCTCCTTCCCAGCAGGGCAAGGAGGGGTGAAGACTGTGGGTGCATGAAGAAGTGAGGCCCAGAGAGACTGGGTGCGTGGAGGGGTGAGGCCCAGAGAGACTGGGTGCGTGGAGGGGTGAGGCCCAGAGAGACTGGGTGCGTGGAGGGGTGAGGCCCAGAGAGA